TGTAGCTACTAATTTTTAAACTACCAATAAAGATATGAGCAAGGCCTCACCTTAATACCAAAAAAAAAAAAATAATAATACTTAAATTTAGATGATTCTTGACCACTTCAGTTAGTTTAGGTCACAGATAAATTAGTCTAAGCTTCTATTCTTTTTATAATATTTTAAAAACAGAATTGTATTTTATATAAAATCTTAATTAAATATTCAATAAAGATGAAAGCATGGCCTTACTATTAATATTAAAAAAAAATTATATATAATTATATTTTATAGTTTTTAGAACCCCTTCTTAATAAAAAACAAAATAAATTAAAACGATAATAAAAACTAAATAAAATATACATATAAATAAATATATTTATAATATATAGCTAATAATAATAAAATAATATACAAAATATAATATATAATTTATTTAATAATAAAAATTATTTATTTAAATTTTAAAAACTTTTTTTATTTTTTGAAACTTGTATTTTAAAGTTATAGAATATACAATACAAATAAATTTATATATTATAGTATTTTTATAAAATAATGCTTAGAAATATTATTTTAAAACATATTGTATAAAAAAAACTAATATTTTAAATAAATGAAAATTATAATTTTTAATTATTGAAGTTTTTAACTAAATCAATTATTAGTTCTCTTTAAACAATAAGCTTCTAAAATAACACTTTAAGATATTATTTTTTAATAATACAATATTAATACAATAGATGTGTATAATATTATATACAGTAATAATACTATATATAAAATATAATAATACTAAAGATGGTATTTTATATAATTTTACCAAGGCAGCTTTTAAAAATACAGATTATGTAATATCATTATCTGATTTAGTTATAGCAAATAAATCAGTACTAGATTTATAGTACTATTGCTAATAAAAATTTTGATTTTGTATTGCATATTTGTATATTGTATATATTGAATATAGATAATGTTACAATATAATTTATATATTTGAAGGTCATTCTGATAGAGTTTATTACATGTAGTAATATACTTCGGTTGTAATTTTTAGAATATGTAAGCAATACTATCTAGAAATATCTCTAATTATTATTACTATTTGTAGTTTAAGTAGTTATTTTGTCTTATAATTAAGTATAAAGTATTGTATCTATTTTAATATTAATTTATATTATCAATTAATACATATTAGTAATCAGTAAATTAATAATCTATTTATAAAATAAATTCTATAATAAATATGTTAATGATTAGTTTATAAATTTATATATATATAAAATAATATTTATATATTTATAAATTTAATTAACAAAAAACTATTTATCAAACTTAGTAATTTATTTAATAACTTCTTTATATAATATGTAATTGACTTTATATAATAAAATTTCTAAACATAAAAAGATCAAAAATTTTAATTATCAAATAATATACAATAAAGATTGTTATAAATATTTAATAAACATGTAAATTTTTTATATAACAAACTTTTCATTTAAAGGACTAAAAAACCTTTTTTTATTTATAAAATAAAAATAGATAACAGAAAAGTTATTTAATTAATGAAAAACTTAAAAAGATTTTTTAAATTTATAAATTTAAAAAGAATATAAATTTGATAATTATATTTAAAACTAACTTAACTTACTATTTAAATAATAAAAATTAAAAAATAATTAATAATTAATAAAAACTGAGATCAAAATATAATATATAAAGTAGATAATAAAGTTTTGTTGTATTAGTATTAATAAATAGATTAAAAAAAGAAGAAATTCAATTCTTAAGGATACAACTTAAAGTAGATATCTTTAGATACTTAAATTGAGGTAATTAGAGTAGATGAAGATAAATAGCTGAAAGTAAACAAGACTGAAATAGATATGAATTTTGTGACTAAAGCTTACAGAAATATTAGTTTTTATTTTGCTACAGAGTATAATAATATAATAAGTTATATTATGATTAATATGCATTTGCTCTATATAAGAATTTTAATTAATTTAGTAAACATTTGAATGAACTCAGACTTAGGTAATGATTGTGTACTTATATATCATAACAACAAGTCTAATATTAATGCAAATGTGTGCGTGAGAGTGAAAACCTGGAAACCGATTTAACGATTTACTATGATCGGTTTTCAGGTTTTCACTCTCACGCACTCAAATATAAATCAAATAATAATATAACTAGATAATTCAACAAAATAGAAAACAAGCACTAATATTAAACAGAAAAAAAATACTACTGTGAGTCCTGAAATTGGTCCTACTGTTATCACAGTCACACATGATTGATCATCGAATTAAGGTCCTATCTCCTACCTGAGTATTTGGTCACATGAAAAGTAAAAAAATCTTACTTTTCTTAATTTTAATACTTCAGGTAGATTGACAGCATATAGAATATTTGTTTCTTCTTTATGATAGTAAATATAAGGATTTTAACGATGGCATAGTGTAAATGAGTAATGTAGAGGAAATTAACATCAAATGTAAATAATACTTTTATTATAAATAAAAGACTTCTTGCCCAGGAGGGTGAAAATAACATTACCCCAAGTAAATACATTTACATACATAAAGCTAAGTATCCGACTTCTAATAAGTGAAACAATAACCCAATTCAAACTAATAAACTATCGTCAATGCCATCGTTATTACTATCGTTCGCGCCATAAGTCACGTGACAAGGCCGTTAACGCAAGAGAAAAGTTCCAACCCCGATTCGACGTAATGTAATCCCGGGTTAAGGCATACAAAAGAAGACAAGAATTAGAATAAGAATAGGTTGAAGGAAAGACTCAAAGAGGAGACAAGTACTTACCTACGGATAAACCACCAGTCAAATCTAACACGCCTTTTTCAACTTAGCCGCCGTAGGTTACGCGAGAATTGGAAGAGATTAGCGACAGACTCGCCGAATTGAAAACACGATTAAACCAAGTTATAATATGACGTTATATATAGATGCAAAAGCCACACGACAAATTGAATATATAATATTATAGTATGGTAAATTTAGGTAATGATCATCATCACACAAAGTCATAAGGGGAACATCCAATCAAATGCCCGGATTTGCGAACTTCAATTAACGTTAACTTGCCAGTAAACCATTGTGTTATATTAAAAAAAAAGATAGGATTTACATCATAGAATTCTATTAATAGTATAAATGAAAAAATAAGTATAACGCATAAGGTTTGTGGTTTTTTTTTTATATTTTATATTTTATACGTCATAATTAAACTTTAATAAATATAACGTTTTATTTTAGAATATATCTAAATATATTTTATTTTAAAATATAAAAAATATATGATTTAATTGTGTTAAGTACCAATATTAAATATTAACATTAATCATTTCAAATTTCAAACTGTCAGTTACAGCACACTTACCTAAAAATCATTTACCATTGTCATTTTTGTTAATAATGGTGTTTTGCAAGTAGATCATTATCTCCAACGTACATATGCGCATACATACGTGAGTTAGTCCTAATAGACGTATTAGATTTGAAAATATGACGTTGATACGTACTCTCTTACCTTTTAAAGTCATATAGTTTGAATTTTTTTTCATCCAATCACATTTGTTATTTCTTCGTTTATAAATAGGTTGCTAAAAAAACACTTTCACTAATAAATTGCATAACATTCGTCGCAGATCGTCCTAAATCCGTTGATTTCTTAACATTAAGGTAATTTCCTTTTCTATTTAATCCTATTAATAGTAAGAATATAAAAAAATAATTTCGTAATAATAATAAAAAAAAATATCGATAAAAATTGCGTTTCATAGCCAATTTAACCAGTTTCGAGAACACAAAAAAATAATAAAAATCTCATTTTCATCTTCCAAGCATTTAGAAACGAATTCCTTTATTAGTTTTCATCATAAGCATAAAAACATGTCAGAATTTACGAATGGGTCGGCTAACTCAGATGTATCTACTACTATAACGTTTGTAGAAGATAATGATTCCAGTGAAAAGCTTGATCCTACCGTTAAACAGATTTTAAATACCCAAATCCATGTTGACAAGAAGAAGCGCTCTTATTTCCAGTTATTTAGATCTGCTACTAATTATGAATTGGCGCTTATGTTTATCGGAATAATATTTGCAGGTGTCGCTGGTTCTGCAATGGTATAATATTATATATATATTTTTTAATCCATCTATTACCTATTATCTCTGTCTATTACCTCTGTCTATTATCCTTGTCTATTACCTCTAAAAATTTTCTTTTTTGCAGCCCGCAACTACAATCCCTTTCGGAAAAATTGTTGATTATTTTACTCTTTACCAACAACGCTCGATTACTTATGATGAATTTTCCAACAAAGTTAATTTCCTGTCCTTAGTTTTTGTCTTTTTTTCAATTTGCATTTTTGTTTCTACCTATATATACATGACTACCTGGATTTATACCAGTGAGAGGTATTGTTTGTTTATTTACTAAAAAATATTAATATATATTTGTTTGTATTAATCTTCACTTTGAATCGTGATGTATCATGTGATTCTGTCATACAAAAGGATTACTCGACGAATTCGCGAAAGATACCTTCGTGCTATTCTTCGACAAAACATTGCTTATTTTGATAAGCTTGGTCCAGGTGAAGTTACCACAAGAATTACTTCCGATACTCATTTGATTCAACAAGGTATCGGTGAAAAAGCCATTATCGTTATGCAGGTAGTTGTCTTTCTAATGTCTTCGTTTTATATTTTCAAATCTTTTATAATTTATGTTTCCAATTTAATTTAATTTGCTTCTAATTTAATTTAATTTACTTCTAATTTATTTTATTTTATTTTATTTTATTTTTTTTAGTATATTGCACGACTTTGTGCCGCATTCGTCATAGCTTTTTATGAAGGCTGGAAAATGACACTTGTAGTATGTTGTCTGATCCCTATTGTCCTGACCACTAGTAGTGTTTTAAACAAATTTAGTGCCATTTTTATGAAAAGAAGTTTAAATCATTATTCTGATGCTGGAACTATTGCTGAAGAAGCTATTTCTACCATTAGAACTGTTGTTGCTTTTGGCTCTCAAAAAAAATTATCTACTCTTTATGATTCTCACTTGAAAAGTGCAAAAAAGGAAGGTGTTAAGAGATCTTTATTAGATGGTCTCTTTCTTGGTGTAACTAGTATGACCACTTATGCTATTTATGCTTTGGCTTTTTGGTATGGTTCTACTTTAATCCTCAGTGCTGAGATGACTCCTGGGACAGTATGTTTTTTTTTTAAAAAAAAAAATATATGTAATATTTGTATCATAATATTTGAACTTACTAGTTTATTTATTACTAACTTATTATTAATAATTTATTATTATCTTCTTTTTTAAAGGTCGTGAATGTATCATTTGCAGTTATGATCGGTTCATTATCTCTAATTTCTATAGCTCCTGATCTTCAGATTTTCAGTTCGGCAGCTGGTGCTGGCGCAAAAATTTTTGAAACCATTGATCGTATTCCTCCAATAGATATTGATTCTAATTCAGGTGATACTCCTGAAAATGTTATAGGTCATATTCAACTTCAAAATGTTTCTTTTATTTATCCATCTCGCCCTGAAGTTAAAATTTTAAAAAATATATATTTAAACATTGAACCTGGTACTACTATTGCTATCGTTGGTTCTTCTGGTTCTGGAAAAAGCACTATTATATCAATTTTACTTCGTTTTTATAATACTATTTCTGGTCGAGTACTTCTTGATGATCAAGATATTAATTCTCTTAATCTTGTTTGGCTTCGAAGGCAAATTGGTCTTGTAGGACAAGAACCTGTACTTTTTAATACTACCGTTGCTGGAAATGTCGCTCATGGTTTAATAGGTTCTGTTTATGAAAACATTGATGATGCAAAAAAACGTGAAATGATTGAAAATGCTTGTAAAATGGCTAATGCTCATGATTTTATAATGAATCTTCCTGATAAATATGAAACAAATGTTGGTGAACGTGGTTTCTTATTATCTGGTGGTCAAAAACAACGTATAGCTATTGCACGTGCAATTATCAAAGATCCAAAAATATTATTACTTGATGAAGCTACCAGTGCTCTTGATGCTCAAAGTGAAGATATTGTTCAAGATGCTTTAAATAATGCTTCAAAGGGTCGTACAACAATCGTTATTGCTCACCGATTATCTACTATCAGAAATGCTAATAAAATTGTTGTTTTGGAAAGAGGAATAATTGTTGAAATGGGTACACATGATCAACTCATGACTAAAAAAGGTGTTTATTTTAAACTTGTCGATGCTCAAAAAATTCAACTTTCAAATTCCGAAAATCCTGATGATGATAATGGTATATATGAAGATAATCATCTTTCAAGGAATAAATCACTCAAGCGAAACATGTCTATAAAACGAAATATGTCCGTAAAACGAACTTTTTCTATTAAACGAAATTTATCTATTAAACGATCCGCGTCTATCAAGAGAGATAAGGATGATCTTGAAGCTGCTGAACCAGATTTTGATTATACTACCTGGCAATTGATTAAAAGGATAACATCTATCAATACTGGTCCTGAATTAATACTTATTTTCTTAGGATTGTTATCTGCAACTATTAATGGTGCTATATATTCGGTCTTTGCCATCAGTTTTTCGCATGTTCTTCAAGCATTCTCACAAACTTCTGATCGATTACGTCATGATGTAATCTTTTGGTCTCTTATGTTGGTTGTAATTGCTGCAGGAACAATGATTACAAATATAATTCAAGGTGTCATTTTTGGAATCTCTGGTGAAAGACTTTCTAAAAGAATTCGATCAAAATCATTTGCTTCTATCTTACGACAAGATATTGCTTTCTTCGATGATAAAGAAAATAGTATTGGTGTTTTAACTAGTAAATTATCATTGGATGCAACTCATGTCAATGGTTTAACTGGTGCTACTCTTGGAAATATATTACAAATCGCTGCAACAATTATTTCTTGTATAATAGTTGCTTTCGTAGTTGGATGGAAGATGACTTTAGTTTGTTTATGTTGTATTCCTTTAATAATCAGTTCCGGTGCATTACGTATAAAAATGTTAGCAAGGTTTCAAAAAAAGACCAAAAAAGCTTATGAAGATTCGGTTAAATTGGCTTGTGAAAGTGTTGCCAATATTCGAACTGTTGCTTCTCTTACTAGAGAAGAAGAATTATGTCAAATATATCATAATTTATTAGAAAAACCTTTACGTCAAGGTTTCAAAAATGCTTTTTGGCCTTCAATATCATTTGCTTTTGGACATTGTACCGAATATTTAACATTTGCTTTAGCATTTTGGTATGGTAGTAGATTATTTATGAATGGTGATTATGATTTACAAAGAATGTTTGCAATCTTTGTAGCAATCATTTTTGGATCAATGTCTTCTGTTCGAATTTTTTCTTACGCACCTGAGATTGTTAAAGCAAAATCCGCTGCCAATTCTATTATAAATTTAATTGAAAAAGTTCCTATCATTGATTCATGGTCTCCAAATGGTAAAAAAATTAATCAAATTCAAGGACATATTAAATTTTCTGATGTCCATTTCCGTTATCCTATACGTCCTCGTGTTCCAGTTCTTAGAGGTTTAAATTTAGAAATAAAACCTGGTCAATACGCTGCATTAGTAGGACCATCTGGTTGTGGTAAAAGTACTACAATTAATCTTCTTGAAAGGTTTTATCAATTAACAAGTGGTAGAATTATGATTGATGGAACAGACATTTCTACAATGAATGTAAATAATCTTCGAGAACATATTGCACTTGTAAGTCAAGAACCACCATTATATAATATGACTATTAAGGAAAATATTATTTTTGGCTGTCGATCTGAACAAATTCCTACTAATGAAGATATAGTAAGGGTTTGTCGAGAAGCAAATATTCATGACTTTATAATTGGATTACCTGAAGGTTATGATACATATGTAGGTGGAAAAGGTGCACAACTTTCCGGTGAGTTTCACATCTTATCTAATTATTTAATGAATTATTAATGAATTTTACATAACTATATATATAACTGATATATAACTGATATTAATAATTTTTATTTTATTTTATTTTATTTTTAGGTGGACAAAAACAACGAATTGCTATTGCTAGAGCTCTTATTAGAAATCCTAAAATTTTATTACTTGATGAAGCAACTTCAGCTTTAGATCCTGAAACAGAAAAAGTTATACAAAATAGTCTTGATACGGCTGCACGTGGAAGAACCACTTTGGCTATTGCGCATAGATTATCAACAACCCAACATGCTGATGTTATATTTGTTATAAAAGATGGTAAAGTTTATGAACAAGGTACACATAAACAATTGTTGGAACGAAAAGGAATATATTATAAAATGGTACAAGATCAGCTGCTACATAAATAATGAGATTAACAAAGAGATTAATATAGAAGTAATGGACTTTTATCACACTTGATAAAAAAAAGGTACTTTCCTACTTGTAAATTTTATAACAATTAAAAAACTTTATATTCTAATGTTATTATAATTAAACTGAATGTTTAATATTTATATTTATATATTTGTATATTTTTAATAAAAATAATAAAAAAAATATATAAAAAATAACACGCGGTTCCAAATAAAAAGGTTACGGTTCAAAAGGATATATGATGTAGCTAAGTAAAAAATTTTCTTTACGTTTCATTCAAAATAAATCTGATAGATAGGTTTAAAATAAAAATAAATTTCTTTCTCAATAAAAGAAACGTTAAACACATTGGAATAGGGCTTGCTGATCAATGCTCCAAGTTTCGATGTTTCTATCTAATAGTTGCTGGTCATTTATAAAGGAAGAATTAGTCATATAGTAATGTAAATCCTTTCATAAATTGACGCATACTATTTTTCAATATCCGCCGATTGAAAATGACTTGAAAATGTAGTTATTTCAGTGTCATTACTTTTTTGTACTACCGTATTCTACCGTAAATAAGCACCGCACCCTCTACCCCATTTTTTAAATGCCAGATTAGCGGAAATAACTTGGCTAAAGATCTCATTGCAATGTCCGTTAATCTGACATTTAAAAAAATGGGGTAGAGGGTGTGGTGCTTATTTACGGTAGAATACGGTACTTATGAATTCATAAAGTCTTTAATCAAATATTTGAACTTATAATAAACAAAGAGTAATAAATTCTTTTCAATGATCATTAAAAATAAACAAAAAAAAATTTTTTTTTTATTATAATGAGTGGTCAATAGTTCAGTCAAATTGGTTCTATTAGTTAGTGATATTTTTAAGTACATTTTTAGTTCATGAGAGTACAGCTAGTCAAATGTACAACTTTAATTATTGTTTATTTAAGGGTTCTGTTTTAAGGTTGCCCACTATTTGTCATATCTGATTTTTGCTTTGGGTGTTCTATTTAAACTTTATGGCCTATTCTTAATTAGTATCCATATAATTCTAACTATTTTATCTTAAGATAAATAATTCTTATTGCTTTTTATTAAGACTATTCAGGTTTGAATTCATTTTTTTTTGTACTAGTACTCAGGTGTTGCATATTTTAGAACTTGTCATTTGTCAGTAAGACTTATAATATTTTTTTGTTAATTTATCTACTCATGTTACAAACCTTAATAGGATTATATTTACCTAAATCTTAGTATCATTTTACAGCATATTTTTAGTACTTTAGTATATTTCTGTTTGTTTTCAGATTTCTAATCCAGATAGTCTAATAGAACTGTATTCTATTTCTTGATATATTAGGTTAATTTGATATTTTTTTCTTTTGTTTAATTTTAGTAGCCTATTGATTATACCTTTTATCTAAAGGTTCTTACCTGTTTAGATCTTTTGCATTAATATTTGTTTCTTAGATCTAACTTTTGCAGTAGTATTATTAAAGATCTGTATTACTGCTTTACTTAGGTCTTCTTAAATAAGTTTCTGTTTTCTTAGTTTTTATAGATTTATATAACTATCTAATACTAGTCACATCTTTTCATATAACTAATTATACAGATTTCTATAACTTGTCAGTTATGTTAATATGACTATAATTATAGATATTTTATCCTAATTATTAAAAAATAGTTACTATAATACAATTGAAAATCTAAATTTTTATTATTAATAGGTTTTGAACTTATAATCTGTTACTTGATAAGTTGATAACTTATCTATTTTATTAAGTTATTATATCTCTAGAAGAAAATTTTTTTAAAAAATAAAGTAATAGAATTTAAATAAGCTGAATAATATACAAGAATATAATTATAAATAAAAAAGACAAATTTTGACAACTTTACTAATAAAACATATTAAATAATAAAATAAATAGCAAAATTACAAATAGTTACAAATACAAAAACCAGTTTATAATAGACTTAGTAAATACAGATCTTTTTTAAAAATAAAAAAAACAGAATATATATTAATATACATATTAAAAAATATTAAAACCCTTAAAATACAAATTTATAAAGAAAATTAAGAAAATACTCTAAAAGAAATTCAAAATAAATTAGAAAAAAGAAATATCAACTTTTATCAAAATCTCAAAATTTTCTTTTAAAATATTTTAGAAAAACCAAATAATAGTATTAACTTAGACTATTTATTATCTAATAATACACTCACTACTCAACTATTTGAAATAAAACAAGCTCTACAATTCTATTTTCAGGACTACTTTAAAAAATTATTATATATATTAATAGAAGAAAACTTAAAATTCTATAAACTTTACAAACCTCATGCAGAAAATGAACCTCTTTTTAATAATCTATTTTTAGAAATCACTTTAGAAGAATAGAACAAAGTTATACATGACCTTTCAAATCAAAAAGCTATAAGTCTATTAGAAACAAATTATGAATATTTAAAATATCTAAACTCTAAAGCCCAAAATATTATTTGACTATTTTTAACAAAATGTCTTTCATTACAACAAATATCAACAATATAAAAAACATTCAACATTTTTCTAATACCAAAAAAATTTATATAGAACTTTATTTATATCAAATCAGACTGATTTTTCTTATTAAACCTATTAAAAAATGTCTTACCAAAATTTTTATCATATGCCTTAACTAAATTATTAATCAACATTATTTACTAAATGATCTTAACTTTGCAGTAACCAAAAACAGTTCTATACATATTCTTATACAAATATTAATTAATACAATAGAATATTACAAAACTAACAACAAAAAAACATGAATATCCTTCTAAAACATGTTTAAAGCTTTTGATAAATCAATATTAAATACCTACTAGATGCTTGCAAATATATTGGTATCCCTCAATCTGGGCTTAATTTTATTAAATATCTATACTAAGATAAGAAAATCAAAGCAATTACAGTCTATAATCCTACTGACCTAATTATACTTTATTTGGGTATAGAATAAAGAGAAACCTACTTTTCATTATTCTAAAAAATCTATTATGACTCTATTATCAGTTACATAAACTCAAAATATACTTTAAAACTTCTCAAAATATTATCACAATTCCTCTTAGAAATAATTTTAGCAACCATACCAACTCATATAACAATACCACCTCTTGTCTTTATGGATGATACAGTCTGGCATTGTAAATCTAAAAATAATCTACAAGAAATTCTAAATAACATATCTGTACTATACCAACTAAACAATATTCAAATTAAACCATTCAAATCAGACCTTATTTATATTCCATCTAATAAAAAAATACTATTTAATAGCATTTCAAATATAACACCTCATTGGGAAATTTTTTTATAGAAATTAATCAATATATAGCATTTAATCAATATATATTGTTTGCAAATTAATAATATATAGGGTCTTTGCCTTGAAAATGACCTTATGAGATATAGTAAATCATATGATCCAAACTTGATTTTCAAGGCAAAGACCCCATATATCAATAAACAGATTTATAATTGATATATATTATTAAAGGCAAAATGGATACCAGAGTTGCTCTAACCCAGTGCTGCTCCAACCTATGCTTCTCTTATAGTAAGAACATCTCTGAACAAGAAAATGATTATGCATTAATTGTATCTTGAGAAACTTGAAAGCCAAACTGCCCATCTGAAACAATGCTATAATGATGCAGAATTGGGAACTATAGCTGTTTGTTGAGATATATCTGTCAGATTGAACTAGTTGTTTGTGCTACATAAGGCTATTCATGGTCCTAATTGTAATAACAGATCTGAAACCATTGAGTTCAATAGGAAATTGTTTGATCTTGGGCTCCTGTGCTGTCTCTTTTTGTGGGATATCATTCTTGTATATAAGTGCTTTTTTTTCTTAGAGTTAGAAGAAGAAAGCATTTTAGAATAAACATTATTAGTAATAGCCATATTAGTAATAAAAACTATCTTATTAATAAACTGAGACCTTACACTCATACTTTAGTCTTGCCAAATTATTTCGCCTCTTTCATGATGCAACATTTCATGATGTTTGGTATTTGCAAGCAACAATCTGTTGCATTTTCCTTGACCTTGTATTCTGTGAACCCAAAAATTCTCCTATCAATATTAACTATTAATACAAATTAATAATAAGGTAATAATTGATAAAATATAGTTATTTATTGTTATTGAATCTATTTCAATCATCATAATTTTTGTCACATTATTATCAATCAATAAATATATATTACAAAATACATTTTCAAATTTAGAACACTTTAAATATCAATATATCCTTTTATATAATATTAAAACATAAAAATATTTACTAAGTATTCATTCATTTTATTATATCTTGAGATTATATAAACTGTCCTATCTATGCAATCTAATGGTATACAACTATATTGTTTAAGTAGTTTTAATTTAGAACATTCTTATAATTCACTAACTTAATTGTATATAAAAACTCTTTCTGCAAATCCATTATATAAAAAAGTAACTAAAAAATTGTTTGTACAAAAATACATATAACTATTTATTTTACTAAGACAATCTGTCCTGGTGTCTTAAGTAAACTTGTTCAGCTCAGAATTTATATATATCCTGCAGATATTATACTTTTAGTCTTTAAACTCATTGAAAAAACTGTACTGACGGCCTTTGGCCCCAGTTTCAACAATTAATTTTTTTTGCAATTTTTACTGCAACAACATATTCTATACTCTTAATTAAAGTTATAATACACATTTGCCCGATCAAAACAAGCTCTAAATGAAAAATTTTGGTTTAATATTGGCTGAATTACAATAAAATTTCTCTTTTAATCTCTTGTAAAACTTTTTCTTTTTCTTATTTTTGTTTCTACCTGTCACCTTTTTCCCTTACACATTTTTTGTGTAACCATACTATCACTTCCCAATTCGTACTTTATTAATTTACACAAAAATTTCTGTAACCTATCTATAAATAGAAATTCATTTAATAT